CTTTCTAACCCTCAAGAATTATTTCATTTAATGTTGTTTTTTACTAAATTGGGGGATCACATAAATCATATCCGCCTCTTACTTCTCTGCGACAGTGGCCAACTTATTGATCGTTCATTTGGTCCTTCGATCTCTGGATTATAATTATGTCCGTAACAGGACATCCGTGAATCGATCGAAATCGCCTTCGATCCTTCTTTCTAACCCTCAAGAATTATTTTATTTAATGTTGATTTTTATTAAATTGGGGGATCACATAAATCATACGTGCCTGTTACTTCTCTGCGACAGTGGCCAACTTATTGGTCATACGTTGAATCCTTCGATCTATGGATTATAATTATGTAACAGGACATCCGTGAATCGATCGAAATCGCCCTCGATCCTTCTTTTTACCTCTCAAGAATTATTTTATTCAATATTGATTTTCAATAAATTGGGGGATCACATAAATTTTCAAATAATTACATTAACATATATTGAACAATTATGCAGTGGCTCCAATAATCCACTTAAGGTTTAAGGACTCGTAGTTGACTCTGTTTAACATTTTTTACGATGGACGCAGTCTAGGAAAAATTTTATAAAATCTAGTAAGATTATTTGAATCAGTTCCGTAAAAATCTGGACGAGGGAGACCGTCTGGCTCGCGAATGAAATGGACGATCATCTCTGGAGGGGGAGTGGATGGAAGGGAAAACGTTGTTTCATCGTGGACAGTAGGGTCGTCCCGCGAATTTATCGATTCCTCGGTTCCTTTCCTCGGGCATTCTTGGCTCGACGAAGGAGAGTACGGATTCTTGGAAGTTGGCCAGAAGGCCGACCGTTAGTCCAGGTGGAAACGGAGGCGGTTTGCAGCGCACCTCGAGCAAAATTCCGGGTAGAAAAAGGGTAACGAAAAAACGGGGGGTTCGTGGAAGGGAGGACGACCACGAAATATTTGTCAATCGCAAAGCCAGGAGGACCAGGCCCGGGGTAAAGTCGATTTAACGCCCGTTAAGGAAGCAATTCCTTTAAGAAGGACGAGACGGGGAGCGAGGGTGGCCTCCCAGGGATCCTCGACCTTCCCGGACTTACGACCTTTCACCGGAGAATCGCTTCCGTCCGCCATTATCGGTGGACGAATGGAACATCAATAACCAATTTCGTAAGACTAATATCGCGAAAATTAGTTTCCCGAGGTCCCTTTTCCCCCGTTCCTTCGTTCCTTATACTCTATCTCTGCACCTATAACCTTCGTTAAAAGGTCCACGACCTCTTGGTTCTCTTAATGTCCACTTATCAAGGCGAGAGCGATCGTGAATCTTCATCGTCTCGCGATACCCCGTTTCCGGTCGTATTTTCCTATTTCTTTGCCTCCTTTTTTCCCTTCTCTTTTTCATCGCGCCCGCTCGACACTGCAAAGCAACGATAATGCAGCTTTTAATCCGCGTCCACTAGATCCTGCGTGGTATATTCACCCTTGGACTCTCTCAAACCTCGTCAATAGCGTTCGATCACAATCCTCCCTCATGATCTATTCGCGATTATTCTTTTCGATTTTTTCTCGTTGAATATCGTATTTTAATATAGTTATCCCGATTCCTTTGATTTTGGATTGCAATATTAAATTGACTTCTCGCTTATTTATTTACTCATTTAATGGTCGGAGGGATAAATGGGAGGAAAGTAAATAAGACAGTTTAATTTTCAATAATTTCCATTTTATTAAACGTCTCAGATACAAAGTCTATTCCCCCCCTCAATAGATCTTGTTTGGTTCGTGTTAATACTGATAATAACACTAGTAGTGACAGCATCGGCATCTGCACACGATGAAACAGTGCAATGTTTGCGTCCAGCGTTGCAATTTACCTATAAGCACAATAAATTCACGAATTAGAAAATCAACGAGAAGTCCAAACTATTTTATAAATATAATAAAAGTTACATCGAAAGGGACAAGCTCAAAGACGCAGAGTACACCAAGAGAAACGTTCTAAGCAGCCTCGATCGCTATAGAATCGCGATTAAACTCGCCCAGAGTGAAATAGTTTCGATCGTTCGTCGCCCGCCCGCCGGGAAGTTTGTCGAAAAGAATCTTTTATCGAGGGGGGGAAAAAATTCGCGCGTTTCTCGTCAATTAGTCGTTCATTCTCGTCGCGTAGGACGACGCTCCCCGTCAGGACGCTACGCTGAAAAGAGGAAAAGAAGTTTCTTTGCGAGGTCCGCGCTCCTCGAGATGCCCCGCGCGACTCGACGCAGCTTCCCTTAATTAATAAATTAATTATTCGCCGAGTTATGGTCCGATTCTCGGTTCCCTTTCCGACGTAATTACTTTAGGGGCGGCGAGCCTCGCCCGGAACCTCTTCTTTTTCTCATTTTTCGTTTCGCCGCCCGAGTATTCGCCTCCGCCCCTGTGTATCTCCAACTTTTCTTCGGGCGTCGGTGTTCCTTTCCTGTAACGTCACCCTTGTTACTTCTTTTTTTGCCCGGGAACCCCGTCCCGACGCTTCTTTTCGGCCCCGAAAAATATCCAGACCGACGAGCGTGCATTCGACCAAGGGAACCAGTTTCCCTCGTCCTCCATTTTCTTCTCGTTGATGGCGTTTGTCGTCAAAATTTACGCTGGTCCGTTCTGGTCGTATCTTTCACCCTTTATCGACTGCTGATCGATTAATCGACCTTTGTTATCGACAGAGTCCATCAGTTTTCCTAGTTCCACGGTAATAACAGCTACAACGCGGAATACTTTGGCAAATTGCTAGAGTGCATGGAATTAAGAACATTCCCGAAATCACAGCTACTCTAGCACTCAACTAAAATTGCTGCATTATCTGTTCTCGAGCTCCGATATCTTCTGTTCCGGCGGAGGAACGATCAAACAAGACAATGAAGCGCGATGTTACTTTCCTCGTCGCGTTATTTCCTAGGAAAGGAGTTTAACTTCGTTTCTGTCGATTAAAACAATTCGCGAAGTTCTAGAAATGGATGCCGATCGTTGACGTTCGATCGAAACGTTTTAATCAGAGAGCCGGTTTAAAATTTGCCCGACCCCACGGGGACCGATTAGTCTTTTCGATGCGTTCCGTAGCGAATCTTTGCAATTTAGCCCGCGCGTCCCCTGCTCGTCCGACGAGAAAATTAATGGACAAAAAGGGCGCGCTTATCGAACGGATTTTATCAATCGGAAATTCCGGTCGCTATTGGAAACGATATTTAAACGCGGCCGTGTCTCGATACGCTTTTTTTTCTCCTCCCTCGTAGCCCCCGTAGAACGAGACGCACGGAATGTTTAAAGTTGATTTATTAACGTTTGATTTATTTCCCCATCGATTCGAATGCATTTACTCTGGCGCAAGATAGCGGGGGAACGCGCGCGATTCGATATACGCCGCGGCGCGATCGACCTTTTCGTTCTTCGCGTTCGTTCCTTCTCTCCGCCCCCCTCTCTGTACACCCACTTCCGTCTATATCTCTCCCTTTGTACGTGTGCGAGCGTGTGGCTTTTTTTTTTATCAAGAGTCCTCCCCGTTTTCGAGCGAACCTCGGCCATATTTTTCGGACGGGGATGTAAGGGTGCCGGGTGTCTATTAATAAGCATATCGGGCCAGTGGAATCGCGCGATAAAAGTGATGTATGTCGCTCGAATGGCCGAGTACCGCGAAACCAGCGGCCGATTCGAACCACTCGCGGTCGCGAACAAATTTACGAAACGTTCCGTTGTTTCCGCTAGTGGAGGAAGCGATCGAGATCGTAGAAAGGCAGGAAAGGGTCACTAAACCCTGGAACCCAGGAGTCGAGCACTCGCGAGAGAGATAAGAGCGATTACAGTCCTTTATTGAAAATCCACGCTTCGCGACGCTGGACCAGGATTTCGTTTCTGATATCCGCTTTCCACGACGAGACGACGTCGATGCTGTTATTAGTAGTTACGTAATCTTGGGAGCCACCTTTGACACAGCGTCGCGACGACGAGAAATATATGCAAAACAGCCCGGGTGGGTCGGTCGCGCGTACATCAATTTCGTCTTCCATTAAATCCGTGGAATCGAATTTATGGTACCCTTCTATCTAATTTACGGGGCAACGCCGACCCGTGCTTTAATCGCGGAACGTGAAAAAATACAAACTGTCGAGCGGAACGGATCTACGCGGCGGGGAGATAAATTCGCGCCTTGGCCCGGGATACACGGAGCGAACGGGATCCCCGAGACTTTACGGCGATAGTAAGACACGCCATAAAAATCGCTTAAGATGCAAGCTTCCGCACGAGAAATCCCCCCGGGTGCCCTCGAATGTCCCGTGGAAAAAAAATGAACGCCACCCGACCGGAATCTTAATCCGCCCTCGTGTTTCGCGCTCTTACGCGCCTCCCTTACGCACGAACGCCAGAACCACACCTCGAATACGTTTACTCTGATACGACCTACTTTTTCACTCCAGCAACATCGTACTTTTTAAGTCGACTCTTTATTTACCGATAGTCGATTAATCGACTCTCGAGCGTCCAGCGGTTATCGACCGGTTTTCACGTCGATAAAATGAACACCAATCCTGTTGACGAAGTTGAATTTCCAATTTCACATCTTTTTATTATCTTCGTACCGACGGACATTAGACAGACATGGCAAAAAAAAAAACAATTTTATCTACAAATTCGCTTCCAAAATTCAAGAACATTTCCAAAGGATATCGTCTTTGCTCTGGGCGTCGAAACATCGAAGCACGGTCCTGTCTATGACAGTGCACGCTGTCACTGTATATGTTAAGTGACACTCGCAGATCAATCAACGTGGCTGGCCACGATTCGAACCAGCCCTTTCGATGTTAACGCATCGAACGCCGGTTATCGTCGCGAAGCATCGACCTCTGCCCCCCCGCAATGGCTGCCAGTTTTATCCTCGAGTCTCGTATTTCGACCGTGCATCGGAATTTACAAAATCGCACAACGAATTGAAAGAATCGCGACAAGTTCTCGAGGGCTTCTTGTTCCTGTTCGGCAAACTTTGGATCTCGGGCTAGCTCTCTTCGTCCTTAACGTCCGTGACGCTAGCGGGCGATTTCTCCTCGATCTTCTCCTCCTTCTCTTCCTTCTTCTCCTGCGTGATCAGGATCTTCTGGAGCTGCACTTGCAGCTTGCTCGACGCTCCTACTATGCAATTCATAAGCGTGCATATGGCGCGATTGTATCTCTGGATCATTCTGTACTTCATGTCTCCGAACCGGGGCAGCTCGACCTGCGAAACCCGCGACAATTTTACCCGAAAACACGCAATTTCGTTCTCACAGTCGAACTGTGAAAGTCAGCAAAAATATTATCCGACGATTAGTTACATTGTCGCCGTCGTAGTTGGGCAACAGCGGCGAGATCGTGGTCAGTATCCTGCAGTAGAGGTCCTCCACGTCGGCGCTGGATCCCCAGAGACCCTCGGAATGCGTCCAATAAACGAGGCCAGCCGCGATGCCGCTTTTCAGAACGAACAGAAGGACTTTGCAGAACTTATGGCCGACCGTCTTCGGTGGTGCCTTCGGCGGGCAGTCACATAGCTGAGAAAAGAATACGTTAAAAATAAAAAATACTCGAGTTGCAATGTGCACGATAAAAGCATGGTATCCACGCGAAGAACTGTCCCGGACTCGCTACTAGAGGGCTACGTTCTCTTGTCTTTCTCGCAAGCGTTCGATCTCCCGTTTCTATATTTACGCCTGCTAGGCCCCTCTCCTTCTCTTTCTCATTTAAAAGACTTTCGTGGAGGATCTTTGTTCCAAAAGAAGCGGAGGAGAAAGAGATTCGCGAGAAGAAGCCAGCGCGCGAAGGGACTAGATTCGACGTGTTTACGGAGCCCTCGACAGTATCCGGCTCTCTTGGTTCGAGGAGCCTGAAACTCTCGCTAAACGCGACGACGCCCTCGACTGGTGAGGTCACGTATGTACGTACGTACGTGTCCCTAACAAGTACGGCAACTCCAAACTGTCCTCCTCCTCCATTAGAGATCCATCGGCGTCGCTATACCTGTGTACACCGGACTGTCGGGCTAATTTCAGGTAAACGCAACTACGTATCGACTAACCAATTCCGTACAGGTGCTGGACCGCCGTCGTCCCCTTGGCGCGGCACGTCAATATCGCGCAAAGACAGCTTCGAAGCTGCTACGCGAGGCCCGCCTCCGACGCCAAAGCGTTCCCCCTTGTTAACGAGTCGACGTAACTCGGCGTCCGGAATCTCATTAACAACAAATACCCTCCAACGAGCACACGCGACCTCCGGTTCTCGCGAATCTCCTTCGTCAAACTCCGTAGCGCGAAATGCAAAATGGCCCGGGAAAGCTTACGTTGGGACTACTTTGACACTTGATATTCGTCACTGATTAAGCGAAAAGTCAACTTTGAAAGTTAATATTTATTAGTCAAGTCATTTAATCTAATCTGAGAAATGGTGGTCTCAGTTACCTGGAATAAAAAGAGTCAGGCGCGTATAGATCGAAGATTTCGAGCGAAACTTCTCACCTTCGGCGGGCAAGTTCTCTCCATGTCCCTCCGCGAGCAAACTTTGACCCGTACGAGCCTCGGGGTCCAATAAGACGAGGACCCCGAGGACGTGTTCGGGCATGGCTGCGTCACCTCCGCGGCCACGAGCTTCTGGATCCTCGTCGGCCTGATGCATGTCTCCGGGTTGGAGAGGTTGATGGTCTGGGCGATACACTTGGTTCCTCGCCTCATTTTTCACCGCGTCCTCGGGATTATTCGCGAACGTCGAAAGATATTCAATAAGTCTCTCACCGTCGAGCCACGGCGAGATTAAACGCGCGGGGCCCAGCAATCTCCCGGGTTCTCGCGTCCGAATTTTTCGCCAAGGAAAGGTCAACGACCGGAGAAAGGACGGCTACCTCTCGACCCGTCCGTGCGTTCTTCAGAAACTCCCGTAATTTAGCCCGGATTACGTGCATTCACTTTGCATCGTATAACCTCGAAGGAACAATTTCTTAAGGGCGACAAACGCGTGTGGTCGTCGCCTTTGTCTGCTATCGAAGGATTTTGTTCGATGGTCGAGTCGAGTTCGATACGACGACCTCAAATTTTGATCATTTTACGGTTAGCACGCGTCGCGCGAATTTTGGCCGATACGCGATCATCTTCATTCTTCTTTGTTCGATATTAGAGGCGATCGCTCCTCGACAACTTCGCGCACCTGCGACGACTGCAGCTGCGCTCCGAAAAACTTGTAATCGAATCGTGGCGGTCTTTGCAACTTTCTATTTCGACGTGTAAATTTTTATTTGGTCGTTGGATAGGGTTAAATGTCCTTTTTTTCATTTAACTCCCGTGTTTCCTTGTAATTTGTTCGGTGGATGTAGAACTATGGGTGGATTAAGGATTTGTGCTACCAAATCGTCCGGATGTTTTCTTTCCAAGCATAGAATTTAAAAAATAGATAAAATGACATTGGCGACATTAGTAAGATGACTGGTCAGTGATCCAGAGGACACAGGTGTTCGAATCCCCCGTATTTCACTTTTCATTTCGCCTCGATTCCTACAATAGATACGAGTATAAGTAACGTTTTTATCATTTCTATAAGTGAGAAAAATCGACTCATTTACCTCCAATTAATTAGCACCGGGGAAAAGGTTAAAATCACTGATAAGGTTCTTTCTTAATAAGCTTCGAAGAACACTTGCTTGTACAGCGCGTTCGCGGCACGTCGAAGGATGGAATAAATTCGAAGAGATCCCCGGAATCGAATTCTCGATGAACCCAAGAGACTTTGAATGGTCGAAGAAGGGGTTGAAAGAAGAGGGTAAAAGAGGAGACCGGAAGAAGGATGCTGGGAGGTGGCGTCGCAGATACGACGCGACGTGTACGAAGAGGCCCGGCAGCGGTTACATATGGCGAGCGTTCAGTCTCGTTCGCGAAATCCTCGTTCGGTTCCTCCTCGTTTCGCGGGCCGCTGATAAGAAGGAAGATATAAAGGAGGCGAGATTACAACGACGGGCGCGGAAGGGAAGCAGGAGGGGGGCGGTGGAGGAGGAGGATTGAAAGAGGGGTCGGTTACTTGATGAAACTGAGTTTTCCAACGAGAGCTCCGACGCCACTTTTCCACTGCTACGTGTTGCCACGAGCTACCCGGCAACCTCACGATTCCTTATTCATCAACGCCACTGGAAAAACTCGTGAAATTTCCATCCGACACGCTCGTACATCCTTCATGTTTATGCACACCCGACCGCCGGGTCTGCCCACCCACCCTAAATGCCCACGGTTTTTTTTTTTTCTTTCCCCCGCGACGCGTGCTCGCCGTAGCTTCAATTTTTATCGCGCGAACGCTTTCTCGAGCATCGAACGTCCGTCTATCGCCGGAATCCCGCGCAGCGTTCTCCCGTTTAAACCTTCCGTTCCGAAATCATTACGATTAAAGTAACCTCTAATAAATTCCATTTTTCCAAAGTACTGTAATTTCATCGTGATTTGTAATTGTCAAAATATGGGATCGAAGAACGCCAGTAACACGAAGGGAATAAAAAAGAAAAGAGACCCGCGTTTTGTATCTAAATGTATACGGTCGCAGAGGGGGCTTCGAGGTTTGCCTCGAATACGTAGACGAAACGCGATTTCTCGAAAACTCTTTATCTAATTTATCGGTGGAGTTAATCTTAGTTTCATTACCGGTCGATAGCGTACGTGCACCGCCGATCGGTCGAGTCGTTATCAAGACTGATAGTTTTGGCCTTTAACGACCGACCGGCGCAGTTCCAGCTTCGTATTTAGGGTCGATTAATGTCCATTAATCAAGGGCCGATGATGAATTTTGCGGTACACTTTCTGCTCGTTATCGATTTGCAGTAACTAGACGCGGAACGATTCGTATTCGGGACGAACGTTTCGCTGTGGCGTTCTCTCTCTCTCTCTCGTCGTCGGCTCCACGTTTTCCAGAGCAATTAACGTTCGACGCCTGAACTTTGACGTCGGAAGTTTCAAAGTTTCCTTTCGGCCGAAACGTAATTCGATTAAAATCAGAGAAGAATATCGTGTACAGAGCTGGACGGGGGAGGCGGGGAGGGGGATGGACGGTGAATCCCGCGGGGAAGGTGATAACAGAGCACGGGCCAGGTTTCGGACAGTTAAACAGTTTATTCAGATCGAAACTTTACGTAGTATATACATACGAGTTAGTAGACGATATGGAGTTCTGATATGAAATCACCTATACAGTGAACTTAAAATATAGTCGTCGATTTACACGGACTTTCGCATCATGCTGATTATGTACATTCGTTTTGTTTCTAAGTTCGTTTCCGCGCTCGAATCGCTCGCGTCGAGTCACCGGGGGGGTGTGTGGGGGAGGAGGAGGAGGAGGAGGGGGAGTGGGGCACACCATTTTGCTCGCCGTGAAATTTTTCTATCGATGTATCTGGGTGCCACAGCCGCTTAGAACAGAAACGACGAAAAGGGAGATTTTTTACTTCAAATTGTCTTTTTTTTTTCTTTCGTTTTGGCGTCAACGTCCCGACGGAAACGTTTTAACCGGACGTTCCTTTCCCTCTCTCGACGAGAAACCAAACGTTCAGCGTCGCGCGACAGTTTTGATGCAAATAGTTTATATTTTTTCTTTCTTTTGCACGCGCGTTACATCGAAGAACGTACTCCCGCCGCGATCGACACTCGGAACACACACAATTAGGCTAATCTCCGTGGACGTGACGAATAAAAAAGGCTCGATCGCGTCGATCAGGTCGCTTCTTTCCATCGTGGAGGGGTCGCGATTACGGCACGCGACGATTGGTCGTGACGCGGTCTCTCTCTCGAGGGTTATCTTCGATAGAAAAAAGTGTTCGATTCGATGGGTGGCTAAGTTACGGCGAGAATAGACCCTAATTAACAAAGATCGTTGTTCGTCGAGCGGTTCTGGGAAGCAACGACCTGCGAACGGCGTCGCGTAGACGAGAAACCGACCAGCCAGAATCCCCGCGGAATCCAAAAAAATTAACGTTCGATAGATTCTTTTTATTTTTTACAATATATACCATCGACTTAATATTGCAACTATGCAGAAACGAACCGCAAAATAAAGTCGCAACTCTTAGGGGTTCTCTATAAAATCGCACGACGCGATGTATCGTTTCGTGGTCTCGGAGAGTTCGAAGCTATTTTTTTGGCAAACAATTCCGTGAAAATTCGTGGCGTTCGTCGATCTGCTCGATCGCGAGTCGCTGTTCGCGCGCGATCGTCCCTCGAGCTCGGCTCCAAAACACGCGCGGAGAATTCTTCAACGATACATACTTATGTACAACGATACGACATTAACTAACGAGCAACGACTTTTTTTACCTTCTTTTTTTTCGTTATTCATTTTTTTCATTTTCTTTTAATACACCGAAAAGAAACACTCGACACTCGGTACCGACGGTTGAACGCGTCGCGCGTGCACGACAAGATTCCCACGCATCGTTCTCATTTCCCGTTCTGCATTCGTCTTCGCTCTTTTTCTTCTTCTTTTTTTCCTTTTCCTCTCCGTTACGCGTTAAACGCACGAACCATCCCGAGCGAGAGAGTCTTGGACGAAGTTCGCGTTGCTTCATTCTCTTAGGAATATACTTTGTCACTTTTTACTCCTAGCCTCGCCGTCAAGCTTCATGACTTCGTCGCGAAGTGTCGCGTGGAAGCCCGGTTTTTCTGACCTTATAAATTGAATTTTTCACCCCGGGTATAAAGCCTCTTCTCTCTCGAGTTTCCCGCCCCTCGCTTACTTTTATTTTTCCTCTCTCTGCTCGAGAATCGAATGAAATTAGGAGACCGGTCCGCGCGACAGTGATTCATTCCATCGTTCCAACGAGATTTCGATTGTTGCGCGCTGAGGATCGGCGACATTCTTGTCTAATTAAAATTGCAGCGTCTCCTCTTCGCGATCTCCAATGGAACAAAATTATTCCGGACTCCTTTTTAATAATATAATACAAGCTTATCGCAGAGTAGCAATTATCCTTTACATTATAGATTCGTACTAATGAAAGATACAGGACAGACAAATTAAACGAAGACTTATTCTCATAAAAATAGAAAAAAAGTAAACTTAAATTATCTATTAAAATTGATAATGACTTGTTCGTGAGAGAATTTCGGTTATTTTTAGCGAAAGCTGGCCAGACCAACGGAACGAAAATACTCCATATTTTTCGCGTATTTTTTCTCGAGATAATAGCCCTTCGTCGAATATATCCCAGTTCACCGGACACCCGGTATTTGTTTACACGGATATTTGAGTTTGCTTCGTTGAACGTTCACTTGTAATTTCATTCGATTCCTGATGATGCAAACAAACCCTCGGATTTTGACTCGAATTTCCATCCCCCAATAATATCGTTTATTGTCGATTTTTGTTTACAGAGCCCATCGTTTGCTTTGTTCCTCGGTATCGTCGAATATTTAGCTTCCTAATCCCGAACGCGACGTCGCGTTTCAACAAACGACGGAACATTTGGCGGGAAAACAACGGGAAAGGAGGGATCGATAACGCAACGAGCACGTAGAGATTCGCGTCTCGTAACAAATTCCGGTTTGCCAGGAATATTTTGTTCGTTGTCTGGTGCTGATTGACAGCCCCGAAACCGCGTTTCACGCGTCCCCGAACAACCCGGCAAAGTAGCATCGCGTTATCGTTTCGTTCTCCCCGTTTCTTTCATTTTCTACGACTTCTCGCCAATATTCCGCCGCCCCCCCTCTTCCGCCATTGGCCTACCATCGTATATTTTCCATCGGTTCCCTCCATCCATCTTCATTCCAGCGACCGGATGAGGGGTCGTTCGGGAACCTTTTATCTTTTCTCCCGTATTCTACGGCCTAATGCCTCGACGTCTGGAGGATTCGATTGGTAGGCTCAGACGCGGGTTTATTTACGTCCGTTCCGATTCGCTGATCGACGAATCGACGAAAGGCGGAAACGACTCGCCGAAAACGTCCCATTCGAGGGTCCAATTCAGCCTCGAAACCTTCTAGCAATCCTCCAAAGGTGTCGCGATAAAAATTCCACCCCCAAATCGATCACATTCTAATATACAGTCGAACCTAAAATTTGGGGGGTTCGAGCCATCGTTTCACTGGTTTCGAATTTGACTGAGAAATGCAGCTAATTAAACTAAAATCACACTAGATTAATTAAAAAATTATAAACGAATCTCTCTCGTAGTTACCCCCTCTAAAATTACTTTTAGTTCGTTTCATAATTAACATCGTGATTTGTAAAACTATTACAACCTCAGACGTGGGACTCTGTTCTCTGGTTTCGAATTTTTTTGTTCCCCATTACACGGAAATAATTTCTAAAAATTATGAACAAGTTTCTCTTGAAGTTTCCCCTGTAATTTCCAGGTCGTTTCATAATTTGCATTTGCAAAAATATTACAACCTCAGGCACGGGAAGCTGACGCGTTAACGAAGCGATAGGGGATGAAATTTCTGCGAACGAAGAATCCGTGAAACTCTAGTCGGATTAATTAACAGTAACAGGAACAAGTAGTATTATTCCTCGCGTTTCTTACGCGTCTGTGTCGTTCGCGTGTCGCGTTGGCGCCGTCAGTTTCTACCCGGGTCTTTTATTAAGCCTTCGAAACGTACGATGGTTGCTTTCGGGGTGGATATTGTTCCGCGTACAAAACGTTCTCGCGGAATTTTCCTCGCATGCGCCATAAACGTGGATCGCATCTCGCTGAACGGGCGGCAGTAAATTTCGTCGTTACGGTTACTTGTCACGTTCGTTTCCGCGCCGTGGCTAATATTAGATTATATAACAATAACTTTTGTCATACGATCCATCAATCAGACAAATGTACGGATTCTTCGTTCGCGGAATCCTTATGACTTCCCGCCAAAGAACATTTCTGTAATTAATGATTTTCGAACCCATATACAATAATAGCTTTTCTCTCGAACGCTCGCTGGATATTGAATATTGTATTTAAATAAATTCGATTCTTAATATCGTTTAATTATCGCCAATTATGAAACGAGTACTCTAGAAACAGGCTTCCATTTTTAAAAATAGGGAAATTAGTCCCTCAGGCGCTTTTCGGGCATTTTTCTATCCTCTGTCCCAGCTGAATACATGTTTGCCACGAATTATCTCACGAATAAAGATATTCAAGCAGGAATCTTGCCACGGTTCTCTTTCCAAGGGGCACGAAATCAGATAACGATACATTTGCCAAATTCCGTAAGGAACGTAACTGGGTTAAACAAACTCGAGACCCGCGAAATTTCCGCGCGTACCGCGTCGTATTTCAACTTGGACAAAATCCCCGGCGCGGATCGCGCGGAAAAGTGATCGATCCGGCGCGGAAGGAACCCTATATATTACTCGAAACTGCCTGGGCCATTTGTTCGCCATTTTTCCGGGTGAATTTTCACGGTTCCCGGGCGGCGCGTTCGCGTACCCGCGTGAATCACGTACCGCCCGCGAAGAAATATGCGAGCAGACACCGTCGAAGATCATTGGACCCCTCTGGCCGTCGGTTCGGGCAAAAGTTACGCGGAAAGACAGAAGAGGGATGCAACTTCCGTAGCGTCCTCGGGCGAACTCGAGAGAGAGGGCAACTTTACACCTAATTCTTTCCACGGGTCGATTCCTCTTCCCTGCTCGTTCCTGTTTGCTTCCCGTTTCCAACGGAGGAACCTGCTACCCCCGTCGAGGAAACGTTCCCAAAACAATTTTCAAAGCTCGGTTCCCCGGCTCGAAAACTTTCTCCGCGACAAATCTTGCGCGCGTGTCACGGTGCTCGTCCATCGCGACGACGCAGTGGATTGTCTGCGAGCCGTTCGCCACGCGCGACGTATCGATACGTCGTCTGCGTGGAACCGTCGACTCGCCGCAAATGACTCTCGATCGTTCGTCTCGCTGTCGACTGTCCGACGGGGTCCTCGCGAACGCGCAACCGAGCTTAGGTCGCCGACGACGGCCGTTCGAAAACGCTTAAACGCAGCTCTCCGGGAGCCTGTTCGCCATTAGTCGTCGCTTGATCGCCTCGCCGTCCAAACACTCCCCCGCGACGATCACCCCCTGTCCGCCGAGGACCACGCCGCCCTGGCCGACGCCCGCCATCCCTCCCGTCACGGGCATGCTCTGCAAACTCTGTATCGTGCTTCTCGATGGTAACCTCAGCTCCGTCGGCCTTCCGGTGAACTTGTGGCACAGCTCGTCTATGCTCGGCGTGGGTCCGGGCGTGACCCAGTGTCCTGGGGGATATCCGCCCGGATAACTCGGCGGGCTCACCTCCACCAGACTACCCTCTGCAACAGCCAGCACACGATTCTTTTGGGGATACGCAGGGCAGGGGTATGGTCAACGTTATGAAGCGAAACGGCCACCGCCACTCACCGTACCCGACAATTAGCCGACCGCGCTTTTTATACTCGCTTTTCCACCTAATGTCTATACTCTTTTCGTGCCCCCCGCGACTCTATTCGGGCACCAAAAAAAAAAACCGTACTCGTTGTCCCGCGAGGTGCAAAATTAGGACTCGGAATATATCGCGAGCTTTTAGTCACTTCGCTTTTTACGGCGCCCTTTCCCGGCGACAAAGCACCGCAAACTCGGCTAATTTCGCGCTCGAGATCGTCGCCATTATATTTCAAGAACCCGTTTACATCGATATCCGTTCGATGTTGCAACAACATACTCCACAGGTTGACGATCAATCGGTTTTTTCAATTAAAAATAAGCGCGATAAATTTAGTCGAGAACGTATGTATAAAGTTGAATGAAATTTTACTGGATCCTGTGTAAATGCTCGAAAGTGGGGTGGAATTGAATACGAAAGAATATAGTGGGAAAACAAGGAGTCGATAAAAAAGAATGAGAAACCCTGAATTTCAGCCGTACCCTTTCGTTTCCGTTTTCATCGATTCGACGGTGGCTCGTGTCACGGATTACCAGACACCCCGTATAAACGACGGTGGCTCGTTCCTCTACGGTTCGTCGATAATGCACCCTGACTTGCCAGAGTCTCCGGAAACTTACCGAATTTATTCGGAATAACGTCGGGGTCGGTTTCCACGGTCTGCTGAGGGTTCTGCAGGGGATACTGTTGGGCCGGTAATTCACTGAGCTCCGCCGGTTTTTCGTGTCGGGGCTTCGATACTCTTTCCCTCCGGACTCGCACCACCACCACCAGTACGATCAGCACCAGCGTCACCGACGCTCCAACCAATACACCGAGCAACGGCGATAGTACAATACCGGCGTCTTGTCCTTTAACATAAACACAAAACGAACGTCAAGGGTTGAAACTTTCTAAAAAGAAATCCAATCTTTCGAGACTCACAGTATTTTTTAAATATTTCCATTCGTTGCGCTATAATTTAATTTGAAACAATATTCATCAGCCCTTTGGGTCATCCTGAATGCACCTTTTATAATACATAAATTAACATATTTTTTTCTTCGTCAGAAAAGGTACCCAAATGCTTTTCTTTCCGTTCTCCAAGATGGCGTCGCTTAAACGACCGGCGTAATTATCGGAATTCCGCGGTACTCGCGCAGTATCCAGTCAGTGCTCGACGAAATTTACGAGTAACTAGGGATTGACAAATGAACAATGGTAATTTATTTAAAATTATCATGGCTGTAATTAAACGATGCGCGGGGCTTGTAATAATCGCGCGATCGTTGCTCGTCGAGCGAATAAATCGTAATATATCCGTGCATTAATAAACAGGTAACCGCGGTACGTTCCGAATGGCGCGATAATAATCATTATGCAACGGCGGACAAGCTTTTCGAGAGGCATTCCGAACGTTTGCGCGTCACAACGGAACTCCGCACGCGTACAAATTCCAGCAGGTGTAATTAACCGGGCAGATTTTCTTGTCGCTCGTTCTTGTTCCCGCCATCGTTCACGGGGGGCAAAAAACAAAGCTTAATAATTTGGACGGTGACCCAAAGGAACCTAGATTATTCGTCCAGTTCGCGGAAAGAACTCTGAAAGAACAGAGGATAGCGTTTTCGACCGCTTGTCAAGCTTGTCTCGAGTTCGAATTCTTCGACATCAGAACAATAGTTAATAATTGAAGAACGTGCTCGAGTTCCGTTCGTTAAAATTTTTTTTCCCCGGCAACTTATTCCCCCCATCGAAAAAACTTTGATCAGAGGCGGCGGAACTGGGTCGACTTCCGGTAAACCAATTTATAGAAACTTTTCGCGAGCACGATACGTTTGTTTCCCCGGACGGGTATCGAGCCATGGTTGTGGTTTCGAAACCAGTACGCGAGCGTTTATAGAACCGGGCATTTTTTCACTTGGTCGCGTTCAGAGCTCGGAGATCCGTCGCGAAGCCGGCGCACGAAGAAACGCAAATTAGAACGAAGGATTAACCACACTGTGTGTCACGGCGCGGAGGCAACGACTGCTTTACAGCCCTCCGTGGCTATTTACTATTCTACATTTTTTTCCTCTTACGGGCGGGAACGCGTCGCGGTAAACCGGTACACACAAACCGGGAGGAAACTTTTCTGCAAACTCGCGGGCGGACTGCAGCACGGTCAGAGTTACGAAAATATTCGGACGCCAGGGTATGCTCGGATTTGTACTAACTTAATTACTTATACGCGAAACGTCGTCCCTCCCCCTGCTCGTTAAGTCGCTTAACACAGTCAACAACAGCGATAGATATTTTTAAAGCTCGTAGAATTATTTATTTACCGTTATTAATTTTCGTTCGAATGGAAGAGGCCACCCACGGTTGATTCTACGGCCTGGTTTACATTGTAACTTAAAAATTCCGTCAGTATCGCGGTTCGATGTGAACTCCCCGAGCCACGAAGGCTGTTCAAACTTTTACTAGCAATGTAATCGCTAGATGGCAAATCTTTTTCATCCGCAAAGTTTGATCTAAAGTCTCCTCTTACAGGAAATGGTTTCCAACTTCTCGCGTCTTAAGGCTGGATCGCCTGGTCCATTAGCAGACTTCGGACCAAAGAAGACAAAAGAACCTCGGTTACTTCTGGCACAGGACCTATATATACATCCCAGTGTGGATGTTTCAGTAATTGTCTACTATTTCTAACGATCACTTCTTTAACCCTACTCGTTATTAACTACTTCCATTCCTCAGACGTCTCCTGGTTATGAAAATCACAATGAACTGAACATTATACACTTTATAAATATCTGTATTTTAACACTTTATCGATTGCTAGTCGATTAATCGACGTTCGAGTGTCCAGCAGTTATCGACCGATCTTTATACAAAAAGAGAACTATGAGAATTGAATTCCAAGTGACATAGGATGGAGCTTCGATGTATACCGCGAAAGTTAACTCGGGGTAAAGCTCGTAATGCTCGAGATCGTCGTTGGCCCGGTAAAAGAGAACGAAAACGAGAAACGAGAACGGGAACGAGAACGAGGAATCTTTTGGGTTAATTCTCGCGCGTGACGTTTTAGTCGATAGTTGCAGGAGCGTGGGAGCAGGCCTGCTGCTTTCGTCGGATAATTAACAAAACTGTTTTCTTCCAGTGCGAGTTGGCCAGCTGTGCTCCGTTGCAGTTTAAGTGGGACAGAGTCGAAACGTGCGCGCGCGCTCGTTAGCGTATCGCGGCGAACGTGTTTAATTCTTAACTTCTCGCCGTTTGCCCGCGCGCGTGTCATTCCGCGATGCACGAATTCGGCGGTACGAATCGGAACGCGCCTTGTTAAAACTTCTGCCGGGTCCTGGATCAACCGAAGATCGTCTGGTTCCTTGACTTCGTCGACGACTTCGAACTCTTTCCCCGCCGAAAGTTTTCGCGAACTTTGCGGGAAGGTTCGGGGTATAACGTCCTCCGGTGGAAGGAACTGGGTCGAAAGGTTCCAAAGTGGCCATTTTTGCTCTCAAAATGTATCTCCAAGGGTCTAGAAAGTAACAGTTTGATCGAATCTTGGCAAACTAAAATCAGGAAAAATTTTATTTATCGTTCGATGTAATAAATTTTCGTATGCAAAGGCGTGGAATTCCTCTGTAATTTCCTATGCAACCTTGCGCAGACGTGTTTCACGTGAAAATTTGTATCTTCCCTCGAGCAGAAGATGGCCATTTTCGAAGATTGTCCTTTGAAACTTGCGCGAGGAGAGAAATTGGCACGAAGGCGCGCATCTATCCGTTCTGTACGCGTGTCGTGCATAATACAGGCGTGTTTATGCATGTAAATAGATTGCGGTCAGGTGTGTGTGCGCGTGTACTTACACGCGGGAAGGTATTTCGCCCGTGGACGCGCAATACCCATAAAATCCAGGGTTTAATCAGCCACCTTGAACATCCGCGCTCTACTCTGTCCCATAATCTAAGGAACGTCCAACGCCACGCGTGCTATTACGGCCAGCGTTCGCCTTTCCATGTGTTCCATTCGGTCCGTGAATACTCGTGGAAATCCCCGAAGTAACGCAACTCGAAAACCGTGTAAAATATTTTACAAAACTCGGACTCGAAATCCTCCGTGTACGTGCACCGTCGCCGTTTTCTTTTTCGCGGCTGACGTTTTGTAAAACGAACTACGAAGAAAAGAAAAACGCGAACGCGATTGTTACACTTACCGTGACACGGTTAGAAAGATTCTTGCGTTTTATCGGCGGCGTCTTGCGCCCTATCGGTTCCAGATGCTGCGCCAGGATCCACGGATGGATCGTATAGGAGGATCTAGCGAGTCTCGAGAAACGTCGGAGGAATATATGAGCGTGCGCCTGAGTGACAGGAAAGTCCTTAAGGTGGGCGTAAAAGTTCTCGTAAAAACACAGAGCCGTGCCAACGAGTCGAGATGGTTTTAGTCGAAGGGACTGGCTGGATAGATGGATGGATTTATTAGCTCGAGACAATATAGAACAACATAATCCGCGGAAGATGGAAAATGATAACGTTTAAAAAAAAGACAGTGCATCATACTCGAGAATTTTATTTAACGTTGTTTGTATTTAAAATAATTGCAACCCTCGCTTCTCTTTTATCTCTGTGAAAAATGTTTGATCTACGTTGCGTATTTGCACCGACTCCTATTATTACGAGGTTTATTTACAAAATGTATACACGGTGTAAATAGGCGGATATTAATCAGTAATGATAATATTAACCACAGCAAACGAGAATAGCCGTAGTGTCGGTAGTTATAATATTTTTGGCGAGAAATTGTTGGGCTCTCTCGCGGTAATATCCAATGCGATTCGTCAAATGCATACAATGGGCGTAAATTGGAAGGCATTAAACAGTAATAATAATAATGGTACCAGTAATATTAATGCGGTTAGCAGGCACCAGTGGGGCTAGCAGTTATAACAACGTTAATGTAAATTCTACAAGATAAAATTAAAACAATCCTCGCGCGTAAAATCACGGAATACCGTTTTTCAGAACGTTCCTTTCAATAAACCGGGTGATTCGGGACAGGTATCCGAACGGGGCGCGATAGTACGTGCAAAATTGAACAGAAAACGTGAAATGAATTTTTCCCGTACGGGGCTTTGTTTTCGAGGAAATCGATATTGAAAATTCCGTCCAGTGTCTGACCATTCTTCGATATTACTACTTGATCTGGTGTTTTTAATCACTGGACGTCGGTTTTTCGACGATTCGTTGATTTCTGACTATCGATAATAAATCAAATCCAACGAAACAAAGCCTCGACGATTAAAATTTAACTAAAAAATTGTTCGAAGAAACGGATATCGAAGATTTAACCAATGTTCGACCATACCTCGATATTTCCACTCGATCCGTGTTTTCATCCATTGACGTCGCTTTTTCGATAATTCCCCGGTTTCTAACTATCGATAATAAATCAATATCAACGAACAAAGCCTCGAAGATTAAAATTTAACTGAAAAAATGTTCGAAGAAATGGATATTGAAGATTTAACCAATGTTCGACCATACCTCGATATCTCCACTCGATCCGTGTTTTGATCCATTGACGTCGCTTTTTCGATGATTCCCCGGTTTCTAACTATCGATAATAAATCGACAGCAACGAAACAAAGCCTCGAAGATTAAAATTTAACTACAGAAATGCCTGCGGCGATCGATATTGAAAATCCAGGTAATTTCCGACCGTACCTCGACATTTCTATTCGATTCGTGTTTTCGATGATTCCCCCGGTATCGTACTATCGATGACAAATTAACAGCGACAATGGATAAGTCACAAAGCCGTGATACGGATCGGAGTCTCGAAGATTAAAATTTAACCAAAGAATTAAGCAGCTTGCAGTCTCTCGGCTGATATCGCG